GGGCCTTGGCCTGGAAAAGTGTATTTGTGTCTGTCCTACCTACTTTTCCTTGTTTCTTGCTGCCCTGGTTTGAGTACCTTTTTCTCCATTCCCACCTAGCCATGCCATCCTGAAATTAGAACAAGAAGAACATGTTTTGAAACAGTGAGTCAGCATAAACCGTACTTTTTTTTTTTTTTTTTTTTTTTTTTTTTGTGGAACCAGGGATTGAACTCAGGCCCTTGTAAACCCTATCTTTTAAGGTTTAGTTTGTTGGATGTTTTGTTCCAGTTGTAGAAAAGTGGCTAATGCATCTAATTATACTAAATTTGTTAGAAGTTGAAATATGAGATCTCAAATCAAGTTGTAGTCTCCATTCTGGGCTTGTTGTCATGATGGTAATTTCCATAATTACCAACCACTTTTACCCAATCTTAAAGTCATTAAAGGGCGTTTACAAATTATAAAACTTGCAAAATACTGTTTAACATTGCCTGTGATCAAATCATTATTGGGTCCTTTGCCAACCATCCTAAAACCCCTTTCTCATATTCAGAGCTCTACAATAAATGAATAAACTAACCAGTAAGCTTATAGACTGTAGTGCCAAAAATTAGATGACTTTTTCCCAATATAAATAAGGGAAGTTGAAAGTAATGCTAAAAGGGACAGTTTTTGTGACAGGCTGCCTTTTATTTTTTTTTTTTCCTTGAATTTTTTTATTGGTACATTTTATATATACATAGTGATAGCATTCGTCATGGGGGAATTGTACCTTGCTTCAAACAATACTTTTCAAGCTTTTTTTTTTTTTTTTTTTTTGTGGAACCAGGGGTTGAACTCAGGCCCTTGTGCTTGCCAGGCGAGTGCTTATTCTACTGAGCCACCTCCCTGGCCCCTAAGCATTTTTTTTTAAAGATTTAAAATTTCTGAATTTAGTTCAACTTATAATACCACATTTTCAAGAAAAATGAACCTTTTGCAAAGACATTTAAATAAAATCATACCAAGATGCACAAAAATGAAATTGTCCAAAACTGCTTATAAAGAAAAAAGTCATTAAAGCATATACATAAAAATATTAGCTATGGAAGAACAAAATTAAATAGCATCTTATTCCACATTAGAAAGAAAAAAAAGGACCAAGGGTAGGCTGCCTTTTAAACCCATATTTTTATACCTCTTAAAATAGAACCCTCACATTTGCATATAATTCATGTTTTTTGTTCAGAGAAAAAAATACCTTTGTTCACAGAGTTGCTATCGTTCACTGATGGTTTATAGACAACATTCACAAAGGAACATGCTGAATAAGGTAGGGACTTTGATGACATACCCAGTTCCATCTGGGGCAAATCATTGAATGCAGATATGCATGCATATCAATGGGAGGCACAAAAATATTTCTATGTAGGAAGGAACATGGACTACATGCAATGTAGGATAAAGGGGATAAAGGAAAATAGAAAAATCAGCACTAGCACTAGGGTTTTTCCCTGAGGATGTGTTAGTAGAGACTGAAACCGAGACTTTTACTCTGAGAGACAGCCATATTTGGTTTTATTATTTTTAATGCTTGACTTTATTATTTTAAATATTCATAGTAGATCTTACTAGGGAGCTCAGGCTGAACTTGACACTGTCTTCCTCTAACTTCAGCCTCCCAGAGTGGCATGGTCTAGGTGTGGTCACCAAGCACTACTACAAAGTAGGATCACAGCCCTTGGTTGAAGTAAACATCCATTATTCATTGTAATGTAAATGATGTTGAAGATATTTTTCATTGACAATACGTGGGTCATTTTGAAAGATTTTCTGGGAAACTGGATGCCATAGACAAGAATCTATAAATATGAGATTAGTTCTATGGGTAGCATAATTTTTAAGTGAAATTTTCCCTAGATTGTGGAGGAGATGATCTGTGACTCATAATTTTTTGTACCATAGAGATGCCCTTCTCTTTTCATCATGAACCACTTTGGGGCCATATATTCAGATCTTTTAGTGGTGTGACTTTTCAGAATGTCAGAATGATGACTTAGAGTGAAACACATCACACTCCCTGGACAGCACTCTTCGTTTGAAGCAGTGCACTAGGACAGTGCTCTGAATTTGTCAACACTTTGGTCATTTTGGATGGTGAATTGATTTGGGGCAAAACCATTTTGTTGTTGTTGTAGAATTGGTTAGTGCTCAGCAAACAATCCATTTGAATTCTACAGAAAATTAGGAAAAAATCAAAGGTTAAACCTCAACTGATTGTGGGCATTTGGTTTTAACATTTGGAATTGGGATGCATGAAACGAGATTAACATATCATTACTATGATGAGGAGATGATTTAAGGTCTCTGTTGGATGTTCTAGTGGCCATGGCATTGTAGGGAAGTTCGTATTTCAGGCATCTTACTCCCTTCCTCCACCGCCTCTGGGCTTCTGTTATTTCCATCTGATTTGCATTCTTTGTTATCTATCACATGTATAAAAATGTTACTATTGATTTGTTTCTGCAAATGATAGTTGTTATGGTTGTTGTCTTGTTGTCCCCCCAAAGCCTCATGCAGTCATGGGACGGCTTCTAGAGTTTGTGATAAATTCTTGATCCAATGCTGGCGTTATGAGTGTGAGTGCTCCACCCGCCATGGGGCTGATAATCTGCATAAAGATGTGAGGAGGGGAGAGAGGCTGACTAGCTGCCACAGCTGCTGCTTCTCCCTGGGCTCTTTGCTGTTTTCTCTGCCGTTTGCAGCTCTGCCTTGGAGCCAGCTGAGTATACACTGAAGCCTCCACCAACTTTGAGCAAAATAAACCCTTCCTTCCTTAATTTGGGATGTCAGGTATTTTGTCCCAGCAATGAGAGAAAAGTAACTTAAGATAATAATAAACTACTATTTCTGATAGAATAACAAAAAATACTATTGTACCAGTTATTAAAAAAAAAAAAAACAACTCGGCATTTGTACAAATGTTCATATATAAAGGCAAACAAACATAAATGAATGAGAACATTGTTATTGGTAATTTGGTATTAAATATTTTGTATAAGATTTACTCTCAGTTTTTCATGAGATTTAATGATAATGACTATAAAAATCAGTGCTGTATTCAAAACATTTCAGCATTGGGCAGTGGATAAAAGCATATATGTGATAAGACTCCTTACCTGACTCAAACTCTTCCAGCCTTATTTTTGACCACTCTCATTCTTTGGTGTCCTCTCCTCAGGTGACCTTGTGTGACTTTCCATGAGTAGTGTTCTTGTCGTTTCTTTCCATGTGATTTACATTAGTATTATAGAGGTTGCTCAGGGAAGTAGTTTGGGACTTTTTTGTCTCACTATTCACAGATGCTGATTCTGAATCACACGAAAAGTACATTCTCATCAATTCTATTGGTCATGAGGTTCAAGATTTTTCAACTTCACTTAATAATCAGATCTATAGGAAAGAATCATCACACCATGTATTCTCTGGACTCTGGGAAGAATTCATTGGTCTGTTGATTTTGGCAGACTTGAAAGGAAAGGAGATGAGTGTGAAGTGTGTCAGTTGGTTCTCCCACCTTGCATAAGTCCTACTGTGTTCTTCTACACCTTATTTTTCTTTGATTTGGTTTTGTTTTATATTCATTGTTTCTCTTGAGTCATTTTAGAGATTGTGTTCATTCATCTTTTTGTGTGTGTGTGTGTGTGTGTGTGTGTGTTCATTCATCTTTATACAATATCTTTATATTGTATACCAACAAATATGTGGTCTTGTTTTATTTCTTTCTCACTGATTTCAGTCTTTAATTTCTCCTAATACTGATGGCAACTTGTTTCCTCTGGGGAAAGTTTTTTTCATATCTAAAATTTATTTCCCTATGAAATTGTAAGGCGTTCAAGTTTATCTTTTGCTTTTCAATATGCAATTTATGTAGATAAAATAGAAGACTATGTAATCTAGATTTCCAAATTCATACCTGTTTCCCCTTATATTTTGTTCTGTCCATCCCTCACTGCTGTCCTGCTCATTTAAGCATTTTATTCTCAGATTCCTCAAAGAACAAAAACTGGAGAATCCACTTGACTCAAATTTTTCAATTTCTTTCTTTGTTCTTGCCTCAAAAGAATTAAAAGCATCATAACACACACACACACACACACACACACACACGCACGCATTTATACTTACATAGTTTGTAATAGAGAAATCTTGAGAATAGCCCAGATGTCCATAGACTAGTGAATGGATAGGGTGTGAACTTTTTATACAATGGAATATTACTTTGCCATAAAGAAGGATAAGCTTGAAACATATCTAGCTAAATAGGTGGACATTGACATCGCATTCTAAAGTAAAATAAATTGGACACACATGAAAATATCAAATAGTTTCTCTGGTATGAAAAACCAAAAGTATATAAGAAACAAAATGTGTATACCCATTTAATGTTCAGTTGATTTCTTTCTAATAAACCAGATTCACATTTGAAAATGCTACCTATAAAATACAGAAAAGAATGAGACCATGTGTGGTGTCACATGCTTGTAATCCCAGTTCTGGTTGACTGAAAACAGGAGGATAACTATGAGTCCAAACTGCATAGTGAGAGCCTTTACCAAATATATTAAAAAAAAAAAGTCTTCATTCCATGAATAATCATATTTGAAGACATACAACCTATGGTTCCTCAAAAGTAGTTGTTAGATATTTTTCTGCATTTTTTTGAGGGGAATGGTGATTTGCAGGCTGCCTCTATGAGCTCTGCTTTAGAAACAGTACACAAATTCAGTCTCTGAAGCTGCCAGAAGACCACTGCTACTAATCTCTATCAGAGAGAAGCAGCCTAACATCACAGTTGTATGTGAAACTGACTACACGTGGATGTACGAACAAAGACATGGAATTTATATCTGAAGCAACAACCAGAACGAGCTTTTACAATTGTAAAAGCTTGTAAATTCAGCTTTTACAAGAGAAGTTCATGTTCTCAGGGTATGAGAGTCAACATTCTTTCAGGAAATATGTATGTGATTATTTAGGAGGCAGTGACCATGGAGGATGTAACAGTGACCTTCACCAACGAAGAGTGGGCTCTGCTGAATCCAGCCCAGAAGAGGCTCTATGGAGATGTGATGTGGGAAACATTTAGGACTATAAGTGCTATAGGTAAGAATGACAGGATTTTCTTATATATACAGTGAAAGAGCATTGGTTCTTGCTGATGGTCAAATTCATTGAATAGACTGTAAAAATATTTTGAACACTATGTCAATCCTGTTTACATTATTCTATGAATGTAACTGCTAACTGCTAATTTTTATATTGATACAGTGACTTTTTGTATTTCTATGGCTACAATACAGGAAGGACTTGGGACAGTCAGCAAATGGAAGAAGAATACAAAAATTACTTGAGAAATCTAAGGTAATTTCCATTCATAAGGAAAAACAGGGTCAGAATGCACCTGCCTGGCAAGCTCAAGGTCCTGAGTTTGATCCCTGGTCCAAAAAAAGTAAAACAGTAATTTTCAGGAGTCCATGTCTAAGCAGAAATATTATAAGGAGACTCTACAAATCAGGCCATGTTCAAATTTATTTCATCTCACAGAAAAATTTGATAACTGAGTACAGAAGTATTCCAATGTAGGAAACTAAGCTTTTAGTGACATTGTGCCACAAGAGACATTGTCTCATACACTGGTATAAAAAATTCTTTCATGATCAACATCATGTAAATCTATGAAGTTGCATTTAGGTATTGTGTGTAAGCATAAAGGAAAAGAATAAATCTTGAACTTTGGCAGGAACTCACCTTCAAGTTATTTTTTCTGTATTCATATGAAATGAGATATATGTTATCTAAAAAACTGTTTAGGGCTGGTGAGATGGCTCAGTGGTCTAAAGCACCTACTTAGAACAAGCTAGGCTAAGCAACGCACAGGGACCGAGGTTCAATCCCCCAGCACCACATGCCAGCCAGCCCCGCCCCCTGGTGGGCTGAGCTGGCCACACACACACACACACACACACACACACACACACACATATACACACACACAAAATAAATAAATAAATAAATATTAAAAAAAACAAAACTGTTTACTTCGAAGCAACATTCTAAATGCCCATGAATGCTAGTGAAATAATAGATGCTTGAAAAATTCTCCATAGAATTGTGTATATTCATGTTTTAAAGTTCTTAGAATGCACCCTCAAAAATTACTGGTAAGAATATAAAGCAGAACTATTTTTATATTCAATAGAGACTTGTCTCAAGAACAAAAATAAAAGTTTGCATCTGATACAGGCAGAATTCCCTATGTATATTCTGAAAGCATTTAAAAGTATCATATCTTAGTAATACATATGTACTTATGCCCAAAGCAGGGTTTGCCTGAGTTTTCACAGTAGCTAAGTTATGGAAATAATTCACAATACCTAAGCTGTGGAAAGAGCCTAGTTGTCAACCATTATTTGCATGGAAAAAGAGAATGTGGGACAGACTCAGCATGGTGGAGCCTTCTTATAATCCCAGCACTCTGGTGAGCTAAGCCAGGTGAATGACACCATGAAGTTCAACCTGATGAAATGGATGATCAATGAGAAACTCTCTCAAAACATAAAACAAAGTTCTACAAATGTATTTTATTTTTCAGACCTTTGTTTCTCAGCACTGAAAAACAACAACAGCAACAAAAATGTGCTGTATGTATTCAGCCAAAAAAAAAAAAAAAAAAAGAATACCGTATCTTCTTATAAAAAAAAAGGAAAAAAGATGGGACTTTACCTCATAATTTTAAATGAAATAAGTCAAACACAGAAAATAAATTATCAAGAGTTTCATTTTATATGAGACCTAAGATGTACATTAAGGTACAAAATTACAAAGTGATAGAGGAAGAGAGCTATGGAGTAAAGTTGTCAAAAATGATTAATATGTGATACACATATTAGTGTATCATTGATTTGAATGAAATGTCGCCTTATGCATTGCTGACATATACCAATTTAAAATTCTCAAATATATACCATCCTTTGTAAAATGGATATTTGGAGGTATCTTCCAGGGCATTCAGCATATTCATTCTGAAAATTTCTTAGCAATCATCAAACCAGAACTAATGGTAAATTATTGATACAGAGACATTTAATTGTGATTGATACTTTATTTCTTTATAGCAATGAAGAGGTAGCAAAATGCTGTCGATATACAACTTTCAATCAACATGAAAACATATTGCTTCAGACTCCAGATGCTAATATGGACATGAAGCGAGCTGCTTTAAAGCTACCTGGAAGTCTTATTTATAGAGAACTTCTGATTGGGCATTTATCACTAAATGTACCCATTGTACATCATCCTGGAGAGAAGCCACATGAGTATTTGGGATTTGATGACAAGCTGAGTAAATGCAATGAACACGGCAAAACCTGCAGTGCCTTTCAGTCCTTTCAGAAGCAGGCAAAGATAAAGCCTGGAGAGAAATCCTGTCAATATCGGCAATGTCAGAAAGCCTACTCTGAACTTAGTGAAAGAACTCACCCAGGAGAGAAGACCATTTTTCGTCAGAAAAGTGTGAAATCCTCCATCACCCCCAGTGGTTTACAAATCCATGACATAGTTCACACTGAGAAGAAACCATATGTATGCAAGCAATATGGAAATACCTTCAATACTCAAAGTTGTAAAATTCTTGAAAGGATTCAGATAGAGGAAAAACCCTCTGTATTTAAACAGTGTGGAAAAGCATTTCATACACACAGTTGCTCCCAAAGACATGAAAGTAGTCACACTGGCATGAAACCATATGTATGTAAGCAGTTTGGGAAATCACTCAGCAGATACATTCACTGTCAAAGCTATGAAAGTACTCACAAAGGGGAGAAACCTTATGTATGTAAATACTGTGGGAAAGGTTTCACCAGACGCAGTTATTGTCAAGTACATGAAAGAAATCACACTGGGGAGAAACCCTATGTGTGTAAGCAATGTGGAAAAGCATTCACTACTAGGAGTTATTCTATTATTCATGAAAAAATTCACACTGGGGAGAAACCTTACATGTGCAAGCAATGTGGGAAGGCATTCAGTACTCACCGGTCTTGCCAAATACATGAAAGAACTCACACTGGAGAGAAACCTTACATGTGCAAGCAATGTGGGAAGGCATTCAGTACACACCAATCTTTTCGGGTCCATGAAAGAACACATACTGGGGAGAAACCTTATGTGTGCAAGCAATGTGGGAAAGCATTTACTGCAAAGAATTCTTACAATATACATGAAAAAACTCACACAGGAGAAAAGCCTTATGTGTGCAAGCAATGTGGGAAGGCTTTCATCACACACCAATCTTGTCAAATACATGAAAGAAGTCACACTGGGGAGAAGCCTTATGTATGCAAGCAGTGTGGGAAATCATTTACTACACACCAATCTTGTCAAAGACATGAAACATGTCATACTGGGGAGAAACCTTATGTGTGCAAACAATGTGGGAAGGCATTCACTACTAAGAGTTCCTACAACATACATGAAAGAACTCACACAGGGGAGAAACCATATGTGTGCAAGCAATGTGGGAAGGCATTCACTACACACCAATCTTGTCTAATACATGAAAGAACTCACACAGGAGAGAAACCTTATTTGTGCAAACAGTGTGGGAAGGCATTCACTGCAAAGAATTCTTGTAACATACATGAAAGAACTCACACAGGGGAGAAACCTTATGCATGCAAACAATGTGGGAAGGCATTCAGTACACACCAGTTATGTCAAAGACATGAAATAACTCACTCTGGTGAGAAACCTTATGTGTGCAAGGAATGTGGAAAAGCATTCAGTATAAGGAGTAATTATAAAAGACATGAAAGAACTCACACTGGGGAAAAACCTTATGCATGCAAGCAATGTGGGAAGGCATTCACTACACACCAGTTTTGTCAAATACATGAAAGATCACACAGTGGCGAGAAACCTTACGTGTGCAAGCAATGTGGAAAGGCATTCACTACACATCAATCTTGTCAAAGACACCAAACAAGTCACAGGGGAAAAACTGTATGTGTGCAAGCAGTGTGGGAAGATATTCACTACAAAGAACTCTTAGAACATACATGAACACGATCTCACGGGGAAAACCATATGTATGTGAGCCATTGGAACAAAGACTTTCTAGTAGGTCCTCATATACAAAGATCCCACACTGTTGATGACCCATATGTATATAAACAAAGCATTTTTTATTTAAAAAAATTCAATGAATACTTTTTTAAAATCAACTACCAAAAAACGTTAGAGTTGTGAGTGGTCCTAAATATGAAGGCATTTTTTAAAAAAATTGTGGAAATTCCTTATGCAATGGAGCCCTGTATACATAGAAATGGAAACTCTGATGTCAGTATTTCTTACGGGTTTTCCAGAAAATACACTGCGAGATGTAAATATCCTAGTATATATTCTTTATGTGTTTTTTAGTGAATCACTTGTAAGTAACTGGAGTATGTATCTGTAGTCTTTACTAGAAACTATTAATATATTTTTATGTAAGCCATTGTCTTTTAACATAATATATAGTATCTTCTAATAAAAAAAGGGAATTGAAATTTCTCACTTCCAAGTAAAGTTAGTATTACTTAGTTTTGTTTTTACTATAAGGAGATATGGGTTGCTAAAAATATATGTTTTATGGTTTTTAATTGAGATTTCCCATTTGCTTTTATTGCAATTTTCTTGGTGTGTACACTTTACAATCTGTATACAAAAAGATAATTTTGAACATGATGTTGTATATGTAGATGTATGCATATTTAGAGATATGACAACAAGTTCATTTTTTTATACAGAACTTGTAAATTGACAAGTTTTTTTTTTTTTTTACTTTCTAACTAGATACCTGCATATAGCCCAACGTGATTATATAAAGCATGTAATTTGATATATTTTACTTTCATGTTGAAGACAATGCTATGATTTACATGCAATTTTGTTTTAACATCAACATTGTAGTTCATGTTTATATTATTATGGCTTTTGATTTGGTGGTGGGTTTTACCACAATTTATACCAAAAATTAAACTACAGAGTTGTGAGATTCTGATTGTGAGACATCAGTTGGACCAGGCCTTATTTAATAAAGTGTATCAGGAGTTGTAGTACTGTATCAGTCAGTGCTTAGTAGAGAAACAGTTTCAGTGTGAGATACACAAGTATGTATGAGTTTATAAGATCGGCTTACAATCACTGTGCACACACAGTGATATAGGAGAGTGCAAAAGGTGCCTTTGCTCTGGATAGCAAAAAAATCCAGTTCAAGATCTGGAGCCCAATGTAGTATCCAATGTGAGTCTGTGTCTGCAGACCAAATAGCCTGTGCCAGAAGACGAAATGGTCTGACTTCGAGGCTGAAGAGTTTTACTAGCAACCAGGAGATGCCTTCCAATGTGACAGTAAACACTGAAGCTCCTCCACTGAAATATAAGTAAGCCTTCTGGCCACAATCCTTTGTAAGGTAGGTCTTCCACATCCATAATTCACTGGGCAACATTAGTTGAGCATAACTGTCACCACCCCCTGACAACTTCAATTTCACAACTATACACACTACTTTAAACCATATTCTCCAAATCCAAAGATAACTAATCATGGGGCCATATCTCTTATTTAGAACTACTTATAAGACTCATTCTGTATTCCTTGGCTTGCAGGAAGCAACTCCACAGACCTTGTGCTTTTCCTGATGTGATGACCCCACCTTCATTTTTGAAGGCTGTGGCCCATTTTATGTTCCTCCTGTGTTGGGTTGTTACAGTTTCCCTTTGACTTTAATAACAGCATGGCAATACTAGAAGACACGAAGGGAACTCCTGAACTGCAGATATATTTTTTCTTCCATTGTGGAGTAATAATATACTTTTTCTTATATATAACACTCACCTCTCTTAAATGCGATGACTCTTTAGTTTCTTCAAAGTTGTAAGGAGACCAGAATGACAAAGAGAAAGTCTTCAAACATGCACGCATGCACACACGCACTCACACTGGAACTAAGACTAAGACTTCTTTCTAGACTGGAAAAAACATGAGATTCTGAGAACAGGGCACACATTTTTGTCAATATATATCACTGGGTAACACTGAGTAATTCATTCCTGGGCCCATGAATTCTGGGTGTGGGAAACACTACCATATAGTCAATGCTGGCTGAAAGCATAAACAGCCTTTTGAAGAACTTTGTTCCTGGCCTGCAAGCTATTGTTACCTAACTGGTGCTGCAGCTGTGACTTAAAAAGATCATTCCAATTTTGTGTTAATCCAGCTTCTATTTATGGTGAGGAACATGGCAAGATCATTGCGATGCACGAGCAGTGACATCATCACACTATTTGGGCATCCAATGTATTGCCTGAGGTCAGAGTCAATTCTGTGTAGAGTTCCACAATGGCAGATAAGGCATGATGTAAAAACATGGATAGATGTTTTGCCAGAAGTATGACATGTAGGAAAGATCAGTTCATATATATAAAAATTATCTCCATCAATAATGACAAAGCACGCCTCTTGCATGGTGGAAGCAGTCCAATATAATCTAAATTCCACCATGCTGAAGGCTGACCACCCAGGAAATATTTCCATATTAGGGAAAAATGTTGGTCTGTGCTGCTGCCATAGTGAACATACAGCAGTAGTGGTAGCCAGTTTTCGTTAGTGGTATTCTGTGTCGCTGAGTATGCCTAACTGCCATTCATGGCAACCTGCTGAGTCCATTCATAAGCCCATTGGGCAATGAAAAGTCAGTGTTAAGTGAAAAGTTTATTATTACAGAATGGGTCAGCTTATCCAGTTGGTTGTTAAAGTCCTCTTTGGCTGAGATCATATTTGGTGAGCCTTTCTAGAGAATACAAATGTATTTACATCCGACTACACAGAGAATTCTGTTCATATCTTTTACCCACAAATATCTCTGTCAGTTTTGCACTTAGTTCCTCCACATTTCTGAAACCCAAGTAGACTATTGGCTACAGCCCTTGAGTCAGTGTACAGCTGCATATCTGGCCATTTTCCTACAAAACAAAATATATTATGAGTGCCCTACCCAAAGTTGGTCCACTTTGAAGAATTCCTTTCACCAGTGTTAAACAGGGATGTCCTGGAAAGAGCTTGTAATGCTTCGGCATTTGTAGGTGGTGCTTGTATAATATGGACGGGCATCTATAAAGTGATTTTTTTCGTAACAACTGAATTTATGGTACAAACCATGAGATGTGTGTTTGAAAAAGAGGGTGATATAGTAGGTATGGGATCCATGGGCATCTGAGGAATTTTCTCAAGTAATTTCTACCCTCTGGACCTGCTCTATCTCAATCATATATACAGTTTCCATTTAGTAATAGATTGTTATTGTGCAAGAACAACTTATGACTTGGTGGATGAGATAATACTGAGCTGAAGGGTATGGAGACCGCTTCCTCTGGCAAAACGATCTGAGAGTCTAGAATTGCAAGACTCAGCCCCATCAGGATCCACCTAAACATTTCCATCCCAGTTTATTGGATCCTATTCTGTTCCAATTAGAGCCTTACCTTTACTTCAGATACCCTTTGAAGCTGAATTCCTTCCTTTTTATAAGTGGCATACTAGAGCAATCAATTGGACCTACATTGTATTGTTTTAAACAGTTCACAACAAGGTCTATTAGTGTACCCCACTGTACTAGAAAGACACACCACAGCATCTTTAGATATCATCAAATTATCCAAATCCAGGAATCTTGAAAGCCATTAAACAATTTCATCTTTGCAATTGTGTTTCTCTAGAGCTACTCACGGTATTAAAGTCTGTATCAGTGAGTACTTACTAGACAGAAAAATTTAATAGAAAGTACACAAATACATTTAAAAGATTGACATACAGTGACCACTCACAGTCAAAGGTGGAAGAGTGCAAAAAGTCTGTCCAGGAGCTGGAGATCTGATTCATCCAGTTGAATGCCTGGAGCTCACGGTAGTGTCTATCACAGTTGCTATCAGGAGGCTGAATGGTGTGTGATTGAAGTCTGAATGGTCTGTGCTGAAGGATAAAGTGTCTGCGCTGGAAGCCAGGAGACAGCATCTAAGGCAAAGGTGAAAACTGACTTTCCATGGAAGAAAAGCAAATTTTCCTTTTCTTCCCTCTTTTATCCTTTTCTTACAGCAATCCTCCTTATTATGGGTCTTCTACACAGAACTATTCTTTTCCAACTTAGGCATTCTTGCTTGAATTGGCACACTCAGTTAATGATCTCAAGTAATTGCTTCAAAAAGTACAATGATGAAGATTTATCACTGACAACATGGACAGAGGAATTTGGTCAATAGTGGTTTTGTCAGTTGTTTGTTTGTTTTTAGGAGAATGATTGTTATTGTATATCATGAGGCAAATGCCTTTATCCTATTCCATGATGCTAGCCATGTCATTGTCTTTGGGAATTAATTATTTTTTAACCTAAGAAAGTGAAATAGGGGGCCGGGGAGATGGCTCAGTGGAATAAGCGCTTCCCTGGCAAGCGCAAGGGCCTGAGTTCAATCCCGGTTCCGCCAAAAAAAAAAAAAAAGAAAGAAAGTGAAATAAATCTTTCCTTGGGAAGGTGGAGCCTGGGTAGTGTCGCCATAATTCTGCGGAGAGGACTGTTGGTATTGGTGAAGTCAAAGTTAGGACTGGAGGCACTTTGCTGTCTTCAGTCAAATTGAGGGTATAACAATGCAGAACAATAAGATGTTTAACTTGGAGAAGCAGAACCAGACTCCAAGGAAACATCGTCAGTATCACCACCACCACCAGCAGCAGCAACAGCCGCAGCAGCAGCCACCATCACCACCTCCACCAGTACCTGCAAATGGGCAACAGGCCCAGAGCCAAAATGAATGTTTGACTATTGACCTGAAGAAGTTTAAGAAACCAGGAGAGAAGATATTTACCCAACATAGCTGCCTCTTTGTGGGCAATCTTCCCTCTGATGTCACTGAGGAAATGAAGAAACTATTTGAGAAATATGAGAAAGCAGAAGTTTTCATTCATAAAGATAAAGGCTTTGGCTTTATCTGCTTGGAAACATGAACTCTTGCAGAGATCGCCAAAGTGGAGCTGGGTAGTATGCCTCTCTGTAGAAAACAACTGCATGTGTGCTCTGCCTGCCATAGTGCATCCCTTACAGTCTGAAACTTTTCT